ACTAGATTTGGCCTAAGGGCCAGTTTCCTAATCTTCAACTAATCCATCAACCACAATAAAAAGGCTTCTAATAAAAAGACTAAAAAATAAATCTTGACTCAGTGTAAGGCAGACTAAAAATTTTTACAAGTCAGAATAAATACAATTATTAGGAATTATAAAGGTTAAACAGTTTTAAGTTGAGCATTTTTGTAACAAACATATCCGCAAAGGCCCTAAATAACACAGAGAATATGTACTATATTTACAAGCATAGCTAGACTTCTGAAATTTGTAATACATTACTTCACATGTTACATACAGATTTCTAACATAATACACAATAAAAGATAACTGTTAAGATATTACTATATCATATCTGGTTAATACACTAATAACCTTAATTGTAAACATAGAGACTAGATTTAAAAGGCACTAATGATAAATACATAAAACACAATCTAAATTCTTAAAAAATGATAAATCCCAATTTCCCACTATCAAGGTTTACGTTTGTAATCTGAAATAAGTGATACTAATCTAAAAATTTCCACTGCTTGTAAATGAACATGTACTGTTGCACCTTTAAATCGTTGTCTGCATAAGCATAATTTAGTAAAAATAAGTAATTTCTCCAAAAATTCTAGATCTTTTATGAAAACAAGCAAACAAACCTCCCTCTAAATTTGTCAACTAATTTTAGTTAAGTACTTATTTATTATGTAACAAAAATATAACAGATTATTAAAGGGCTGGCCTTTCCTATTTAGACAGAAGTTAAATTTCTGGTTATTATAAACATCCTCTTTATTTTTGAAAGGATGGAAAAGACTTTTTTTAAAATAAAAAAACCAGCTCTAAAACACTAATTCCAGACCATTTTAAAATACTTAAATCAAGTTCTTTTCCCATTCAACTCCCAGATAATAGTAAATATAAAATTGGAATAAAGAAACCATTTTAGATTAAATTCTTACAGATTAAACCACACACAGGACATTAAGTACCGAAAATACAAATAAACTCTTAAAACATTACCTTATCATACCTGCTGAGTGACAGGTTTATTAAATCACAAAGGAGATTTTCACAATGTTCTTCAAATAGGCTGACATTGGTTAAATTGTCACCTGCCAGATTCATAAACTGATGGCTATATACAACTTGTTCTAAAAACGTAATAAAACAAATTCTTTTTAAAACCACAGTACGTTTTACTAATTTAGAAAGAGGAAAGTGACTATACATCTTTCAAATAACTTTGTAATAAAACTATGACATATATAGTTAAAAGCAAAAATTTTTGCAAATAATAAACTTGAGGACAATTTCTTTGTTATATGAGCACTGATAAACATCAGCTAAAAAAACATTTTCAATCGTTCCAAATACCATTTAGTAGGCTTCTCTTTTCCTAATGTGGCCATCCTTGAAAAGCAACAGTGCAACACCATTTAAAAAAATTAAAAGGCAACACTAGAAAATCTTCACCAATAGTTCTAACCAATAAAACCCTTAAAACATTATTCTTTTAACAAATACTGATAAACTAACCAAGTGCAATTGTTCTGTTGTGTGAAATAAAGCAAACCAAGGTAACAGATAACAAAATTGGTATCTATATCAGAGTTATGTCCACCTGGGTATTGCTGCTAGCAAATATTACTTGAAATACAGAGGCCACATATAAGCAAAATCATGTATTCATGAACATCTTTGTATGTTTGTATATATGTACATATGTATACATATACACATATACATTTTTTAACTTATTCATTGGAAAGCAGGTATTAGGTAATGGATGTCTTTATAACATAAATAATAAGTTACAACTAAGCAATATTTACGGAATATTGCTAGATTGATACTGGAACCTAATGGTGCCAAAAACAAAAAGGCAACATATGATATAAAAAATTAGAATCCATAACATATATAAACTCCTAAATATTAAAAAAAACAGAAAATTTGTATAAGATAATGAATAAGTAATTAATAAAGCAAATATAAAAAGACAATAAAATTATGTAAAGATATTCAACTTCACTGGTAATAAATTATAAAAGTAGAGATTCAATATCATTTTCATGTATTAGTTGACAAAAAATATAATTAACTGACAATGTCCACTACTGGTAAGAGTATGAGGCAAAGGCACACCCTTGTAGATATAAATTGGGGAAACTTATTGTACCTGAAACACAGCAGTGATAAAACATGATAACCACAATGTGCCACTCTTAAGAATCTACTCTACAGATTAACTTGGACAAGTATTCAAAAATGTATATGTACACAAGGATGTTCAGTGATATATTATTTGTACTATCAAAAAAAGGGAAATAAGTAAAATACTGAAAAACAGACTTGGCTAAATAAATTATGATAGATCTATAACATACAGTCCCTAAATAAATAAAACAGAATTATATGTATTTACACAAAAAGATCTCCAAAAAACTGGTAAATTAAACACTACACAGAACAGTATGATGATACCATTTGTGGTTAGAAATACAAACAAAAATCCTACCATGAGTTTCTATATATGTATACCAATAAACAGTAAGGAAATACGGAAAGATAAATGGACCAACTTGTTCCCGTTAGTTATCTCTGGAAAAAAGGAGTAAGATTTTCACATTTACTTTGGTTATTATTTGACGTAAACAAAAATCAGAATGCATGAATTATTTGTGTAATTTTAAGAAACAAAATTAAACGTTAAAAGATTTTTAAGAAGAACATAAATAAGATATTCATAAACTTACTCAATTTTTCACCAAGCATGTGAAGAATTTCTAGCACCAGCCAATGGATATCCAAGTGGAGATGTAATAAATGCCATGATGGTGGAAAAAGCTGTGAATGACATTGTCAATTGTGACTGAAAATTCACAATATTTTATCATTTGTCACACACTCCTCTAAAAGTGCAGGATAAAGAATCAATTGACCTATCACTATTCAAAAGCTCAGCAAAAATCTCTGTCTTGTTCATTAGAGGTTTTTTTCACTGGAGACCTTCAAAAGCTGGATATATTTTCATCTGATGGTTTAAGACAGGCCCACCTTGGGGCTGCTGAACAGCCTTGCAAAGGTCCCTTCCAACCAACCTCTGATTCTACTACAGCTACAAGGCAGTAAAAGAGTTGTTGTAAAATGCTTATTTTCATGATGTTGTTTTACATTTTTACTTGGAAGTATGTTTTTAACGGTAATGACTACCCAGAAACTCCTATCAATTTTAACAGGAGAACTTTAGACTGTCATGTAGACACTACTGTCATGCCATTAAGAAACTGAAGTTAAAAGTGGTGAAGAAATTTACCTCTCAATTCATGCATTAGGATTCAAAACTAATTCTGATTCAAAAGCCAGTGCTCTTTGGAACTACTATGCTGTAGTAGGTTATCAATAACTTTCCTCCAGACAACAGTAGTATCACTATAAAGATACAATGATATACATGCTCTATTAAGACAACTAGGAAGAATGATGGAGGGGGACTCACCTATCAAATATGCAAACAAAATAAAATTTGACATTAATAAAACAGTATTAGCTCAGGAATAGATAATAAACAGCAAAAATAGGGAAAAGAGAAATGCATAAACATTTCAAATCAGTCAGAAAACTGAGTCAATCAATTAAAGACAGGTATATTAACTTACTCATTTGCTATAAAACTCATGTTAGATTTCCCACCTCACAGCATATTTTTAAAAAAGAGAAACTTAAAAGAGAAATGAAAAAGGCAAGTATATTTTTAACAACAGCAGAGATGATATGGAAGAAAAAAACTGACAAACATAACTATATAAAAAAATCCATCTACCTAGCAAGACAGTTTAATTGCTGAAAAAGAAAGTAAATGAAGATACTTGTAATACATAATACCCAACGAATAATATCTCTAACTTTTAAGTTCCTAAAATATAATAAAAGCAGATGTTCAACTGAAAATACTAACTGAATCAATACTTTCCACACATAAGGTTGATAAAATATAAGAACTATGTAAGTAAACTCTCGGAATATGCTTTTTGTTTCTTAAGATTTTTTTGCTATGGTCTCAGAAAAGAACAATATTTTAATATACGATTTTTTTATGAGTTGAAGACTACATTCCCCTGCCTTAAATATTAAATGCTCTGATATTCAAATAACCTCTCTTTTTATATGTGCCTAATTAAAAAGCCCATGAAAGGCAACACTGAATTTGAGGACTCTGGCACACATTCTTTGTTTCTGCTGCTAGATAAGTTATTATTTTATAGTTAAGCATTTGATGGATATAGAGAAAATAAAAAATAATCCAGTGTATACAGAGACTAAAATGAAGGAAAAATATCCCCCACACAACCTATCCATTATTAAATGACATGATTAAAAGCAATTATCTGTTTTCTATGGTTTATACATATTAACCTGTGAATTCAGTTGGAACTCTACTTTCATTATTACAAATATTGATCCCAGATAAGAGTCAATTTTTTTTAAGCTTTATGGAAATACACAAACATTTACTTGTTCCTTAGTGTTATTCAAGTTGATTGAAGAGTTTGAAAGTTCAGGGAATCGCACGGGGAATCATAATTTGTCACTCCTATAAGCTCACCCTATGGAGAACGCGTCAATTACATCTATAAGCTGGGTCATGCTAAAATTACACATTTTTAAAAACCAAACCTCAGAGAAGATGATTATCACAGGTAGAAAAAAAGTGGCATTGTCAAAACTATCTTAATTATATTCCTGAAAAGGTCTCAGAAGTCAGAATGAACATCATAATATGGCTTGAAAGTGTAACTTTCAAAAGGTGATCTTAAAACTTCTTATAATATAACTGGGGTTTATACGAGATAAAGTGAGAACAATGATACAAATTTTAGAAAATAAACGGTTATTTCATTTGCTTTGAAACTTTTAAACATTTGCACAGTTATTGCAAGAGAACAACTATCACTGATTCAGTATATACTATGTTCTAAGCACTTTATGCATTTTTACTTCATTCTTGCAGCAACTTTAGGAAGCTATACAATTATGCAGATGGAAAAACTGAGGTAAAAGGTCTTACTTGCCTATAATAAAAGGAAGAATGGGAATAAAATAAAAATAAGAAAAAAAAAGGAAAAAGGAGGAACACAGGCAGTCTGGTTCCAGAGTTGCAAAATTTCCCTCATTTTTGACTGAATATTCCTGTGGGGAGAAAAACTAATAATTTAATCATTAAACAAGTCAAACCTTAATCTGATTTTGATTTGCAAATGCTCCTAGATTAACACTGGGAAGTTCAGACAGATGTCCAATATACAAGAGTAACCCACGAAGTTCATCAATCAATACTGAGGGAAGCTGTGCCTCTAAAGCCTCATAGGGATGAACAGGAACATGACTCTCAGCACTCTGTACTTTCAAGGACCTAAAAAGCAATTAGATGCAATAAACAATGAGAGTCTGGATGGACATGTACTTGGAAATTCATGCAGTAATCAAAACACTCGTCTGACATCATACCTGAAGATGAAAACTTTAACATAATGAAGAAATGTTACACACTGCTGCCTGATATTGTCTGCCTTGCAGTGCAGGCTTGATATCTGTCCTGAAATCAAAATAAATAGTGTTAATCATAGCTTAAATAATCAGTGGGCAGTGGCAAAAACATTTGTAAGCCACACAAGCAGCAATTTTCTTTTAATGATTTCCACTGATTCCTATATGGTTCATGCAACTCCCCCAAAAGCTGCTTTTATTAAGGTCACCAATGAAACCCATGTTGTCCAAACTAATGGACACTACCTGTCCTCAAGTAACTTGCCCTCAAAGAGCACTGGCTACACCTGGCTTCACTGACACCACATGCTGCCAGTCTTTCTTCCTCACCTGGTCCTTTCTCCTACCTCTCTCTCCTTTACTGGCTTCTCCTCCTCAACTCTACCGATGCGCGGGCTACTCGGGACTCAGTCCTGAGTCCTCCCCTCTCTGCACACTTCTTCCTGTATGTTTGATTTCATCTGTTTCTTAATTTCTAAATGATGACTCCAAAAGGTTTACCTATATTCCAGACCTTTCCTTTGCACTCCAGACTTTGCATTGTCATACTGAGAACCATCTCTGTACTTGGATTGCTCAGACAATGCAAATAAAACATTCTTGACTTCTTCCAAAACCTGTTCATGCTGCCCGTGTTTTCTCCATCCATTATATTGTGCGGTTGCCTATCTGTCATTCTTGGTTTTTCTACTTCTTTCAAATTCATACTTAATATATCAGAGTCCTATTAAGTTTACCACCAAAATATACCTCTAAACTATCCGCTTTCCCTGTAATCTCTTGAATTATGGCAACAGGACTCCTTATAGATCTTCCCACATACTCTTTGCCTCTCTATAGTCTAAGTACAAATCTGCTTTAAATGGATATCAGTATCTGTTCCTCCTAAATTAAAACCCATAAAAGGCTATCTACTGTAAGTAGAATGAAATCAAAATTCCTTACAACGTTATAAAGCCCCAAATTACAAATAGTTCCTGTTTTTTCTCCCAAGTTCAATGCATGCCACCTTTCCCTCACTTCAATATTTACATCAGTAAAAATCATTGGAGTGGTGACTATGTGCAAAACCCTGATAACCACTATAGGGAAAGTAAGTAAAAGCAGAGAAAACATGATGAGAATTATATGCAAAAAATTATCATCCATATTTAAAGCACAACTTATTTCTAAATTCGAATTCAAATGAGCAAGCATTGCCAACTAGATTGTCAAAATCAACAAGATCATAAAGTTACCATACAAATATCTATATATTACACAGTGTAGTTCATTTTTATAGCATAAGTATATCTTATCTACAAAATCTTATCTATAAGCTTATATAAATCTTATACAAAAGCTGTAAGATCCCACAGTTTCACAATTCTCAGCCCATTAAGGCAGTACTCTCCAAAAAAAATCTGCTAGGAACTTTGGCTGCTAGCCAAGATGGAGTAAATGGAATCAGATTTACCCATCTCCTGCTTTAAATTGTAAAAAAAACAGGAAAACAACATAAAACAACTCAAACGCTGGACACCGGTAATACAAGACTGCTATCTCAGAGAGAGGGTGTGGGTGAAATTGCAGTATTTCCAAAATCTCTTGTCTGGCATTAATGCATCTCTATATCAACAGCTATTTCCAAGGAGTGGGGAGTAGCCATCTCCATATCAATAGGTGATTACAAGGGGGAGTGAGGACTATCTCAACTGGAGAGGATAGGTGGGGTCCCTTTTTGCAGTTGGTTCGTGAGAGACAGGCAAGCAGAAGTGGATGGCTGCTTGTAAGCAATAAATAAATTGGTTTCCCCCACTTTATTTCTCTCTGACTGATTTTGTTTCAAGGGTAATTTGGCCTGGGCTGGGGGACAGATTTTCCCCCCAGAGTTACAGAGGGTCAGTCCTAAGACTGTACCAGCTTCCTACTTAGAGAGTTTGCAGGCTGCAGCCCAGGGAGAGAGAACCCAAACACAGTCGGAATCACTGTGTTGTGAAGATCTGAGTGTAGGGATACCTAAACGTGCAGGACAAAAGTACCAAAGAAGAAAAAAAATACACAAAAAAAGAGTCCTAGAGAGTTAGTTGTACAGAACGTCCCCTCTGAGCCTTTGGCTGGTTACCTATCTTTTCAAACATGAGAAAAAATTACTCAAGGCCAGGGAAAAATACCAGAAAAGAATTCCCTACAAAACTTACACAGGACAGGGACTAGTTCAAGTTCCCAAGAGTAAGATTGGAAAAATAGTCATGATACACCAGAAATAGTCCTCAGAATCTTCGTAGAGCTAAAATAACATTAGACTGAAGGCTACTTTTTAAAGTTGTAATAAAATTTTAAAACAATCCTCAAAATGATCCAGTGGATTACAACTACTCAATAGTAAGCCAGAACAAAATTCAACAGTAATTATGGGACTACAAGAAAATCTGAAAAGCAGCAATACAAAATATACAATGCATGTGTATTTTTACACAACTCAATATACATTATTATATTGTTCTGCCCCAACTAGAAATTATTAGATATTCAAAGGAGTAGAAAAATACACCACAGAACTAAGAGAAAAATCAATCAATATGAACAGACCCGTAAATGACACTAATGAAAGAACCTGAATTCAGTGAAGTTAACAACAGCAGTTATACACACACTCCACACATTCAAATGGATGGAGAAAAGCACAGGGACAGAAATGAAAGATATTTTTTAAAAATTCAAATGAAATGCCTAGAAGCAAAAAAATACAAAATCTGAAGAAGGGATAATACCAAACAGCTATGTTTAAGGTCAGAGTATCAGCAAAGCATACATTTTTATGTATATTGTTCTGCCCCAACTAGAAAGCAATCTGGGGAATATAATAAACATATGTACTTCAGTAAGTGACTCTATGAAAAGGCTTTCTGGGGAGGGTTGAGGGCCAAGACTGCAACATGACATAGCTGCATGGGTAGATGTAGGCATGGGTAAGATATCTACAGACAATCTTTAATATTGCTAAGTTGTCTAACAAATCTATCATTAAAAGTTTTTAAGCAACAAAAACAGCCAAAATGCCAGTGTAACAAATAAGAGCTTCAACAAACAGTCTACTGTAGTGGTTTTAGGTCAATAAGTGCTTTTCAAGAAATAATCTTACATAGTAAATGACTCCCATGAACTCAATTTAATGAAGTCACCCTATATTGTACAAGTATTTTTGCTGTTTCCACTATAACCTTTCAGAGGCTCTGCAGAGGTTTCTGATTCTTTGGCATGGTTTACAAAGACAACTGTTAATTTCAACCCTCTCACACACACACTCTGATCCAGGCATACATCATGAGTACTTACTTCCTGTTCCCTGAACTTGTATATTTTTACACAACTCAATGTCTTTGTCTATACATTTCCTTCTACATGGCACTCTTCCTCCCCAAAACTTTCCCAAAATCTTTTGCATCACTAATTTCTCCTCATGCTTGAAGACCCAGATTTGCATCAGTCAGTAATGCGCACATACACAGTTGAAGCCGTTGGCTCCCATACCAGCTTGTACATACCTCCATCACTACCCTCTTCCACTTGCTGTGCTAACCTATGCTTGCACATCTGCCTTGCCTGTCTTACTCAACTGCAAACTCTCAAGCCAACATATTTTCTCACCTTGGTTCATAAGCACCTTACACAGTACCTGGTATGAAGTAGGAACTCAGATGACAATGAAACGATATTCAACATTTCCTGACACATACTGACAAAACCAACACATAAAACAGCCCTGACAGCTGATAGCTAACAGCTAAGCCATGATGCTCTCTACTGAAATTAAACAGTTTTCACAAAATATCAAAAATAATCAGACAAGGCCACTCCATGATTATGGTGAAACAAGACTTTAAAAGCAAAACATCTCTGTAATCAGGTCTGGACACAGAAACAGAGCACCCATACAAAAACAAATATAGAAACAGAACATCCCCTCTTTCAGTTAACAGGACTGTTGTTTCTTTACTAGTAAGAGCCCTCCCTGGCTTCCCTTTGTCCCACCTCCTAGGTAAAAAATAACATAATCAATCATCAGATTGGCCCTGATTCTTCACAGCAATCATCCAGAATGAAGTCCTTGTCCCCACTAACTCTACCCAAACCCAGCCAGCATGAGCCCAAACCCGATCACAAGGCCCATCCTCTGCTTGTTAAAGGAGAAGCCCCAAATGCTCCTCACTGTGTGTACCTCCCCCTGGCTTTGGTAAGCTACTACACCTTGCTTTGACCAAAGGTGTGTTCCAGGTGATGTTCAGTTGGTAGGCAACACTGATGACAGTCTAGCATAAACAATGAACATGGATTTTGTCATTTAATCCTCATAAGAATTCAATGAGGTGGGAACTCTTACCTGGTGTGGGACCCACCATTAGCTAGGGTTGGAACCCAGGCTGCGAACAGTCATGATTCTAAACACCACACTGTACCAAAAATGCCAAAGGAGAAGCTACTAGCTCACATTAAAACACACTGCCCTTCAATGCCCTTCATTACCTTACTATACTTAATCCCTCCCCTCCCCAAACCACCCCAAATCAGTAATCCATTAAAAGTCAAAAACCAACAAAAGGAGATGGAGAAGACAGCACAAGGTCTGGTACTTTGTTTTCCTCTTATTAAGTTCTCCATCCCACTCCCCACCCCCAAAGCACATTACTAATTCAGTCAGAAATGTTTAGTCTTAAATCAATTTTAATACAGATTGGAGAAGTACTATAAATCTCAGCCACAACAAAATTTAATTATCATACTTTTTCTGAACACAAAAAATGCTATATCCTGACTTTCTGACATAATTATTCTTCTATATTATTATGCTTTCCCAATTATTATACATTATGGACCCACATGAAGTCACTGTAATGGGATTCCATTCCTTTTTGCCATCAAACACATTTAAGACTTACCAAAATCACAGTTCGCCTGTAGTAAAGTTTCCAAGTTGTATAGCTGCTGCCTAATTTGAAAAATATAAGGTGAGAGTTAATTTTACAATAGGTTAAAGAATGTAACAATTACACAGATGTTTTCAAATCTTTTACACAGCCTCAATGCCTCTCATTTGTGAATATGTGTAATACTTCACAGATGCTTATTTACAGGGTTAGCGCCAAATAGTGGAGACTGAGAGACGATAAAACATGAGTTTTGCCTGACTTTCAAAAAAAATCTCTCTTAAAATCTGCATGCATCTCAAAAATTATCCTCAATATCAAAGATTTCACTCTCAAGGAGATACTACTTTTATCTTCAAGTTTAAGATACTTTCATATAACACATCCTAGGTTAACAGTTATATAATAAAATGTTAAATTGTATCATACAGTTATATAATAAAGAGTTCAGAAAAGGAATAAAATAACAGACTACAGTTACTGGGGAAAGGGATATTTATTACTATGTTCCACTTTATTTCCTGAGAGTAATCTCTTGCCATTCTTCCTAGTTACCTGTCAACTTCTTAAAGATTGACCCATATTCATGACCTATTCCCTGAATAAAGACTCAACTTATCCTATAATGTTCAGGATTACAGAGAACCCCTCATGCAGCCTGTTCTCCCAATAAAACAAAGAACATGGCACAGATACAATAATATCTCTTGGGATTTCATGGACAAGGTTTCATGGAATAAGGTTGAGAGGAGAAGTACCTCTACTTTTCCATTTTCATTTAAATGTACCATATATATATATTCTAAATGTTTTTTTTGGATAATTTGCCTTCAATCACTGTATTTCAGAAACATTTAAAATCTGAATATGGGGTGGGTTTTAAATGAATTATAGATTGAATTATTTCAATTTACGTTAAGTGTGATAATGAGATACTGTTTGTTTTTTAAAAGTTTATATTTTTAAGAAACACATACTGAAATATTTAAGGGTAAGATGACATGGTGCCTGAAATTTGCTTAAAAATACTTAAGCCAAAAAGAAGAGGAGAAGGGTGTGGGTATTATAGCAGTATTACTGTAGCATTTCCAGAATATCTCTCCTGGCTTTAGTGCTAGTTCATCTGCATATCAACAGGCATTCCTCAGGGATGGAGAACGGTAGTCCATCTTCATATCAATGGGTAATTACCTGGGCCACTGAGGGCTTATCTGAACCTGAGAGGTTAGAGGGAAGGCTGGTTCGCTTCTGCCAGAGCAAGAAAGAGAAATGGCCCCCGACCACAGTTTGTAAGCAATAAACTGGTTTTAAACTTTATTTCTCCCCTTGACTGATTTTGGTTTTAGAGGTATTTTGCCTGGGATTTCCTCTCCTCGGAGTTACAAAGGGACAAATGAAAGAAATGTAATAAAACCTTAATGTTTATTGCACTGAGGGAGGGTACGTGGAGGTTCATCATACTATTCTCTCTACATTTGTGTATGTTTGAAAGTTTTCATTAGAATTTTTTTTGTTCAAGTTAATCATATTAATCATATGTTACACAGTCTAAAAGATATATCTGGAAAGTCTGGTTTTTAAAAATTAGTAAAAGACTATGGCAATTAAGTAACAAAAGTAGTATTTTAGTTTTCCAAAATTGTAATACAGCTCAGAGCCTTAAATGTCTTTAATACATAACATCATATACAGAAGACTTAAATGTTTGAAAAAAGACAGATTCACAAAAGAACTACTCATTAAAATTCCTGCTTGATTGTTGTTACTGCCAAGATAATCAAGTGAGCAACATGCCCACCTCTACTGGTGCTTTGGTAATGTCAGTATTAGAAAGGACCCAACAATGTAAATGTAACTTACAAAACTAAATAGCATCTACACTCAAAGGCAGTTTAAAAACAAACACACATACCTGAATAAATGAAAGAGAACTCTAAATGAATTCACTAATGCTGTTTCAGTCACCCACTGGATGCCAAATATTTCCACTGTATCCTCTTCGAAATTAGTTGGTAAAGGATCAAGATTCAAAATTAATCTGAAATGAAAACTCTGCTTTAATCTCATAAAAAGTATGCTAACTCCCATGCTATAGCATGTCCTTTTGACATTATGTGAGTCCATACTGAACATCCATGACACACTCACAATGATACTATAAAGTCAGGACATGGCTTGGTACCATATTCAGGAATACAACAGCTAGACTATTAAAAATTCAGTCCTATACAGTGATAAAAAAGTGTAACTGAAGAGCAGTGTAACTTAGAGGAAAAACACAAAAAGGAGTCTTGGAACATACTTTTCCCTGTCTTCAAAAGTGGCCTTCAGTTGTAGAATTTCATCCTTTGAGGAGATATTTAATTTTTAAAAGCTAAAAGTTATTCTGAGCCACGTCTGGAGAGAACAAGGTGTAACTACAAATTCAACAAAAACGGTTTCCTTTCTTACTGAAATAGGCTCAGTATTCCCAAAATATTTCAATAGCAGCAGTTTTACTGCAATTTGTGTACACCTTGTCTATGTCATGAACTTTGAAGAATAATTCCTCTGAACCTAACACAATCTGGTGTATTAGAAAGTTTGAAAAAGTAAGCCCCTAAGACTTTGGTGTACAGATACACAGAATTAGAAGGAACTGGAACAAAAAAAGTATGTATGTCTTACGTAGCAAGAAAGTTCTTAATATCCAAAAATGTTTTAGATATGCTCTAACCAGGACACCATCAACAGAACTAACAACCTGCATCCGCGTGATACACGAAGTCGATTTACAGAAACATGGCTTGGGCATCAAAATTAAGCTGACTAAAATCATGACATTCTTAACAAATTGATAAAAAATCTGATGAGGGACAAAGTCTCCCGTATTTTACCTACCGCTTAAGGGCTCCGCTGGAAAGGTACGACTCTCCAGAAAAGTGTTTTCCTCCTCCTCTGTTGTCAAAAGCACAAGAAAAGCACGGGGGTTTGCACCATTCTGTCCCCAGCTCCAGCTCCAAGCTGTCGGTTAGGAATGTCGTAGCCGAGGAACAGTCATCCATGGTTTACTTCATGTCCTGAAAGATTTGGGGTTCATATAATTATCATTAAAGGCTCCAAAGAAGTTGACATGACATTCCTGAAGGTGGGGCGGGCCAACAGATCAGGCGTGACCTCAGAAAGTTCCCAACACGTCCCCCCAACACTAAGAGAGAGAGAAAAAAAAAGAGAAGCCAAGCCCTCCACAACTCTTCCTGCGACTCCTCGAGATCAAGGCTGTCAGAGGTCAGCAAGCACTCCCGGCTGGCTGCGGCAGGAACTGAAAATCTGCCCTAGGGTCGGACCTTGCAGGCCCAGACAGAGTGAAGGAGAAACAAATGCTTGCAGGGCAGATCTAGCTTCAACTCTCGGGCCCGCCTGTACCTGTGCCCTCCGTGAAGTTGCTGACGTGCATCAGGCCAGTCTGTCTGCAGCGCCGCAGGAAAGCGCCCTGGCGACTCCCGGGGAGGCTCTGCGGGGCCCGGCGCCTACGTTCGGTCCTCCAGCCGGGAAGGCAAGGCCAGCCCAGTCCGCACTCGGCAGCGACCGGCACGATCCGGGCTCTGGGTCAAGCGGGGCGCCCCGTGTTCGGCGCACGTCCGTACCTGCTCACACTGTCAGCCCCCGAGATCCGCCGTGGGCGGTCCCGATCCCCGAGCGGGCGTCCGTGGGACCTGAATCCCAAACCAGGCGAAATTCCCGCCACGCCGCGCGCGCGCGCTCCGGGGGGCGGGGCCTCGGCGAAGCCCGCCCCCGGAGGGGCGATCGCGAGGTCTCCGCGGGAACCGCTAGCGCGCCGAGAGTTCTCGCGAGAGTCTGCCGGCTGAGGACTAGGAGCCGCGATTATCCTTTCTTGCCTCTCTTTTGTGTCTGTGCGTGGGGCTCTAATTGGTGTGTGCGGCTGGAAGGCGGGGCCTCACTTGAAACGTGACGGATACGGAGGCTGAGGTGAGCCAGGCTAGGAGCTGCCGGGATTACCTTTGCTCGCGGCCTGAGAAGAGGGCTTTGCCCCAGTACGTCCCTTGCAGGTGCCTTCACACCCGCGCCATCCGCGCTCCTTCCCGAGCTAGCGCCCGCAAATCTTTTGTTGGGATCCAGGATGCCTATTGTTCGTGGATTGTCAGCCAGGCAAGTGCAAAAACGAGGCTAAGCCAGTGTACGGAAACGGAGTAGGTTAGGCGGTCCTTGCTTTCAGTGTAAAACTATGGCCCCCTCTTTTTCAATATCTGGACAGGTTTAAGTCTCTTAAACCTGGTTGATTTTGTAAAGATACAGCCCATTCGGTGCATTTTTCTTGTTTTTTTTTCAAGTGTTCCTTAACATCGCCTCAGAAGACTTCCCAGTCTGTTAAACGTTACGCATCTCAGCATGTCGACTTCATACTCAAGACAGCCATGAGACTTTCTCATTCAGATGTCCGGCTATCGTTCGATTTTTGCATTTGCCCATTCCTGCACAACAGAGTGTGTCCTCGTTTAATTCCTGTATAGTGAACCTATCTTCACTCTTCTGTTCAAACCACATACAGCACATTTTCTGACAAATGGGATGAGGTGGGGGGAAAAAACAGTATGGTACCTCCTCTGGCTGCAGCCTCAGCTGCTGTGATGGGTGCTATCTATGGCCAGCTGATGTTCCCTGAGACCTGATGCTAAGTTGGGGTCCACCGCAGCTTGTTTATGGCCCATGTGGCGTCTCTGGCATGATGCATAGTATCATCTACAAAATCCCTAGACAACAAAGCCTAAATTTGAGAACGGTGGGCCCTGGGATTGAGTTTAGGAGAACTGGGTCAAGGGATAGTCAATGTTACTTCTTCCTCTAATCAAAACATCCAAATAGACCCCTTTATCTTTTTTCAAGTGCCTGATCTTTTTGAGTGAGTGATCAACTTCGTTGAACCGGTGAGAATGGGAAAAACCAAGTTAAGCTCTGTGTGTATTTAGGCTGGTATTATTAACACTGGTTTTATCAGTAAGAATCCCCAGCAGTTAACAGGAGGTACACTCAAGAGAAGGTACTTAAAGAGCGCTTAATGAAAGGGCCATTTACGAAGGTATGGGCAGGGTTACCAGAACACAAAAAGTGATAGTGAAGCTTCCAGAACTAATCAGAGATTATCACCCTCAGGCTGAAGGGAAAGGAGAAAAAGTGATAACCAGATCTCAAGGGGACTTACTGATGTAGGAGACAGCAACCTACCTGACAGCCATCTATGGTCCTTTCATAGAAGAGCATAGCTGCACCAACCTGCAACCCAGCAAGAAGGAGCTGGAGGGAAGTCCCCAAACTGCTTTCCCTCCACAGTCCAATGTCCAACTAGTGTCTCACTCATGAAAACCAACCCAAAAACAAAGGGTAAGGATGCAATCTGTAAAGTTCAGTCTCTTGGGGTAGAGTCCAGGCTGAAGAAGGGTAAGAGAGTAAATCCGACAAAAACAGGTATATTTTATCAAGAAGCTGTAAGAATACTAAATGTGTACATAGAGTAACAGAGCTTTAATGTACATAAAATGAAAAATATTATTACTTACAGGAGAAATACTCAAATGAATAATTATAGTTAGAAACTTCAACACTCCTCTCTCTCTAATTGGTGGAATAGGTAGAGAGAAAATTAGTATAGATATAAACAGCACTACCAACCAACCTGACCGAATTCACATTTATAGGTGACTTAACCGTCTATAGCAGAATACCTTCTTGACACACACACATGAAACATTCACCAAGACCATATATCCTGAGCCAGGAAACAAATTTCATTAACTTTAAAAGGACAAATAATACCAAATATATTGTCTGACCACAGTGGAATTAAACTGGAAGTAAATGACAGGAAGAGATCTGAAAAAAAAATCTCTCAAATATTTGGAAATTAATAAGCACACTTCTAATTAACTTACGGATCAAATTAGAAGTCACTAGAAAAATCAGAAAATACTTTGAATTAAGTGAAAATGAAAACATTAAAATTTATAATATGACTGCTTATATTAGAGAAGAGCTCAGTTCAATAAGTTAAACTTCTATCTTAAGAAACTAAAAAAAAAAAACCAGCAAAATAAAACCAAAGCAAGCAAAATGAAGGAAATAAGAAAGAATTGTAAAAAGTAGAATGAAACAGAGGAAGAAAAGAGGAAATAGATGAAGCCAAAACTTGGTTCTTTGAAAAGACCAATATAAGTGATAAACTCTCTATTCAGACTGATCAAGAAAAAAGGAGAGAAGACACAAGTTACCAATATCAAGAATTAAAGGAGGCATCATCAGTACAGATTCTATTAACATTAAGAGGATAAGGATATTAAGAACATTTTTATGCCAATAAACATAGATGAAATGGACAAATTCCTTGAAAGACACCAACTGCCAAAGCTCACAAAGGAAGAAAAAGATAACTTCAATAGCTCTATATCCATCATACTAATTTTAATTTTTAGTTTAAAAAACCTCTCTCTCTTTTCATACACACAAACAAAATTCTTACAAGAAAACTCCAGGTTTTATTATTGAATTCTCACAAACATATAAGGAAGGAATAATACCAATACTGTATTAACTCTTCCAGAAAATAGATGACGAAATACTTCAAAACTCATTTAATATGGCCAACATTTCACTGATGTCAAAACTTGACAAAGACAAGAAAAAATTACAATCCAAAATCACAAAACATAGAGGTTGAAATTTTACCAAGTAAAATACAGCAATACAGGTCATGAAAAGTGTATGTGTGTGTGTATATATATATATATATATATATATACTTATACAATACAGTATATGAAAAGAATGAGATACTAAGAAAATCAGGTTCATTTTGAGAATTCAAGGTTGGTATAAATTTCAAAATGCAATCACAGTAGTTAATTATATCAACAGTGTAGAAATAGAAGTGGCATTATCTCAATACACAGAAAAAAAAATTTGAAAAATTCAACATCCATTCATGATGAAAAATCTTAGCAAACTAGGACTATGAGAACATTTCCCTAACCTGATAAATGGCAATTAAGGCAAACCTGCTGTTAATATGAAAATCAATGCTTTCTTCTCTAAGATTGAGAACAGGTCAAGGGCATCTGTCTTCCCTACTTCTGTTCAACATTATACTGCAGGTAACTAACCAATACAGTTAGTATGAGAAAGAATTGAAAGTCAGTTGGATTGAAAAGGAAGAAATAAAATAGTCATCATTATCAGATGATGTCATCATTTATATAAGAAATCATTTGGAGTCTATAAAATCAGCTACTAGAACTAATAACTCAGCAAGGTGGCAGGGTTCAATGTCAATATACAAAAATGTATTTTTCTAGACAATGACTAGAAATTATTTCAAAAGCAATACCATTTTAATGGCATCAAAAGTGCTTTTAAAGATAATTTAACAAAATATGCACAAGATTTTGTATACTGAGGATTACAAAATAATGCTGAGAAAACTCAAGAATACCCAATTAAATAGATATAGCATGGTAATGAATTCAAAACCTCAATATTATTAAAATTTCTTCCAAAATTTGTCTACAAATTCAATGGAATGTCAGTCAAAATCCCAGCCCTCTCTCCTTTTATAGAAATTCACAAATCATCTGAGAAATTGACATGGAAATGCAAGGGACCTAGAATATCTACAACAATTTTAAATAAGAACAATGTGGGAAGATTCACAGTACCTAAGTTCAGGATTTACTATAAAGATACAATAATCAAAACAGTGTGGTAATGGTCTAAGGATAAACATAGTTAATAGACCAGAAAAGAGTCCAGAAATAAACCCCCACACATATGTGGTCAACTGATTTTTGGCAAAGGTAATTGAATAGTGAAAGGATAGTCTTTTTAACAAATGGTGCTAGAACTATTGGATACTGATACACTAAAAAATGAAGCATGACCTTTATTTCACATTATTTACAATATTTAACTAAATATAGATCATAGACCTAAATGTAAGAGCTAAAACTACAAAGCTTTTAGATATTCAGAGGGCTAGTAAACAGGGAAATGTCAGCAAAGAAGGGCAAGAAGTAAGGTCAGTTCTCAGGAGAAAACTCAAGTGTATACAGTGTGGTGTGATGCCTGTCATGAAAGCTAAGAGATTGTAAGAGTGGGTAATCTATATCAAATGCTGCTTCTAAGTGGAATAATAAGAGAAAACAAATTAACCAATGCATTTCACAAGATGTAGGTCAGGACTGATGTTGATGAAAGCCATTTCAGTTCAGTAGTGGAGGAAAATATCAGACTGGAGTGGGTTGGATAGAAAATGGAGTTGAGTCAGCCAATACAGAAATTTTACCCAGGAATTTAACTTAAAGCAGAAAATTAGGGCAGGAAGGAGATGTGGGGATCCAGAGATGATGTTTAGAAGACAGGAAATAATAAAACATGTTTGTGAGATTTGGGCAATTATAAATGTAAAGGGAAAAGTTGATGCTGAAGAGAAGGAGAATGATTGTAGGACTTCAGGCTTTGAGCAGACAAGAGGGTATGGTATTCACTACACAGATGGAATAACCTCTAATCGGATCAAGGACAATTTTCTTTTAACAGGAAGAGTGAAGGGTATGCAGATAAAGATAGCTGATGCTGATGACCTGGGTGGTTGGTAGATGAAGTGCTTTTTGTTTTCATCTATTTTCTCTATAATACCTCAACTATAAGTGAAAGGAGAGAGTGGTTGGTAGAGATTTGGGGAGAGAAAAGATGTGTTTTGGTCATATT